GGCAGAAATAGAAAGTCACTTAACCAAATGTGTGTTGCCCATATGGATGTCAGTGACTGCTTTTGCCAGTCTGGCGCTTTTTAACTATAATGGGTATCCTGAGATCTGTGGTTTGCGTTGCCACCTTCAGAGTCCTGCAGAGAAAACCATTATTATGTGCCCGTGTCTGCCATCCAGAGTGGGGCTGGGAGGGCAGAAGGTGAGAGGCCAGGTTCCTCATAGCCGCTTAGCTGCTGTAGGCTGAGGAGCCCAGGAATGCCACCAGGATGTACCTGCAGCCTCGTCTCCTGATCACAGCACTGTCATTCTGTGTTAGGAGGGGCTGAACTCCAGAGCCCTCTAATCTGCCCATTGGACAGCTCTGCCTGGACGTTCCACAGCCCCATCAGCATGGATGTGTCCTTTTTGTCTGTCAGAATCTCTTTTTTTAGAGAACCTGCACCCCCGCCCGGACATGGTCCTTGCAGGAACATGGCTCGTGATGCCCACACATCTGTAGTCAATGGTCCAGGCCGACCCAAGCAGAGTGCCGAGTCCTCAGAGTTTGGTCCCAGGACCAATTAGAGTTGTTCTTAAGATTTCATAAAAAGCCTCTTTTCCTTTTGGAGCATAAGGTGTTAAAATATAAGCTGAAGGCCATTAGTGGCCATTTTTCTAATGTTCAGAGAGAAGCTGTGAGGAGGAGAGATACGGAGAGAGAGAGAGCATGGGTCCCCATGGCATCAACAGCATCCCTAAGCAGCCGTGCCTGTAGGAGTTGCCTGGGACTCCCAGTTGATGAGCCCGTAAGTTCTTCTTTGCTCAAGCTGGATTGAGTTCGGTTCTTGCAGGAACCCTAGATAATACATATCTGAGATTCAAAGTATCTAAACACAGAACGCCGACTCCTCTCCCAGCAAACTGCTTTCTTCTAGTTTCCCCTGCCTTCCACAACCTCATCACTGCTCATTCAGTTACAGCCGTTATTCACCGCCGTGACTTAGTTCAGATGCGCATCACTTCTTAACTGGGTTGTGGCCCTAGCTGGTTTGGCTCGGTGGCTAGAGCGTCGGCCTGCGGACTGGAGGGTCCCAGGTTCAATTCCGGTCAAGGGCACATGCCTGGGTTGTGGTCTCGATCCCCAGTAGGGGGCGTGTGGAAGGCAGCCAATCAATGATTCTCTCTCATCATTGATGTTTCTCTCTCTCTCTCTCCCTCTCCCTTCCTCTCTGAAATCAATAAAAATATATTTAACCGGGTTGTGGCAGTGGCCTCCTGCCTCCAAGTTTCTCTATTCCATGCCCACAAACAGACCCCCTGCCCCAGCCAAGATCTCTCTTTCTGAGCCTGATCCTTCCTGCTCTTGTGTGGGGTCCTTCACGAGGCTGCTGGACTTCGGGCCCCTCCTGCCTGTAAACCGCACCTGGCACCAGCCTCTCCTGGCTCCAGCAGAACTACTTGCAGCTCCCACGCTCACGTCTAAGCTAACATACATGCTACCTTCAGTGGTTCTCAACCCTTTCTGCGCCAAGGACCCCTTGCCAGTCTGTTGAAGCCCATAGAGCCTCTCAAAAGAATGTTTTTTAAGTCATAGACTAGGATACATAAGGTTATAATGAAATTATCATTATATTGGTATCTAGTCATCAAAATAGTCAAACTATATGGTAATGTATGTGCTTCGTCATTAATGCATTGAATAGAAAAAGTGAGTGGTGAGCCTAATAACTGTTTTACTTTCCAAGCAGTAAAGAGTGTAAAAGAAATTTCAAGTTATTTGCAACAACTGTAATGTGATAGGAATAGATAGGATTTCTGTTGGCGACCAAGTCCCATATTGCTGCCTGCATTCACAATGAAAGGAAATACTGAATTTCAGGTAGAGGTTAGGGACAATGGAGCTGTAACTTTCATGGACTCTCCAGAATTCTATCCATGGACACCGCCACCCTCCCTAGTCAAGCAACACTGGACTCTAGAGTAATCTCCCCACTTTTTGTTCTTTGGGACTCAGCTTAATGTCACCCCTCCAGAAAGCCTTCTCTGGCCTTAAATACACTAGGTGTGGTCCCCTCCTATGCACTCCCACAGCCCCCGTTCTCATACCACAGGCCCCGTGCAACTCCACGCATTCGTCAGTCTCCTGGACTGGGGGCTTCTCCTCCGAGGCCTGTGACGGTGCCAGCTGCCTTGTCCAGACAGGCACAGCCTTGGTCTGAGTCCAGGTTACAACTCAAAGCCAGACTGCGGGTCCCTGAGACGGGCAGGGAGAGGTTCGACGAGCTGGAGATGCTGAAATCCAGTCTTGGAATGACAGCTGACACTTTTGATGAATGGCTTAGGGCTGACTTCTCATTCATTCTTACATCTGAGGCAGACGGTGCAGCCGCGAAGAGCTGGTCCTTTAGAGCTAACCCTGTCTGCACTTTCATCCTGTCCCTGTCACTTTTCCCTGTTTACATTGGGGACTCACTTCGTCTCAGAGCTCCCTCACCTGTAAAATGGATGAGACAATAATAGTGCCCACCTGTAGGGCTCTGGTGAGGATTTAACAAGAATGCATGTGAAGGGCTCAGTCCTAACACTTGGAGTGCGGGTGAATTTCCCGCCAAAATATAAGATGGCTCTGTCTTTTGGTTTTGTTCCATCCACCAAAAGGGTGGATTACAAACAAATATTTGGTAATACGCAGTTACAATCGGCCCGAGTTTACACGTTTCCCGCACTCCACCGCAAATCTATATGAACCGAGTTAAAGACGGCTCCCTCGGAGTACGCGCAATTCACGCGAGCCGACTTAACTCGTTTCCCGCACTCCAAGTGTTCTAATAATGACGAGTTAGAAGCATCCATATGAGCTATTATTATCATCCATTTGCTCTTTCAGCAAACATTTATTAAGCACCTATTGCATGCCAGGTGCTTTACAGACATGAAAGCATTTGATACCTTCAGAGGTAGGTTCTCTTATTCCCATTTTAAATAACCTCCCCATTGGTGCTAAGTGAAATAAGCCAGTCAGAGAAGGATAAATACCACATGATCTCACTCATTTGTGGAATATAGAGAACAACATAGACTGATGAACAGGGACAGATCCAGAGACAGAGAAGCAGCGATCAGACTGTCAACCCCCAGAGGGAAAGTTGAGGAGGGTGGAGGTAACGGGGGGAGATCAACCAAAGGACTTGTATGCATACATATAAGCCAAACCAATGGACACAGACAACAGGGGGATGAGAGCATGAGTGTGTGTGGGGGGTTGTTAATGGGGGGATGAGGACACATTTGTAATACCTCAACCAATAAAGAAATTAAAGATTAAAAAAACACCCCAAAAACCTCCCCATTGGTAGAGGGGTGCTTCTCAGGCAGTTTTAAGTCATTAGGGACTAAGATACCAAACTAACCCTAAAGGTATCATCCCTCGCCTTTCCTCCAAGAATCTGCGCTGTGAGGCAGCCAGGTGCAGTGGTTAGGGGAAGGTTCTGGCTTAGGCTGTCTTTGAACCCCAACTCCTGGATGCTGCATACCCCCTGGGCAAGTTACTTCACTTCTTTATGCCTTTTTTTCTCATCTAAGGAGTGGGACAGTATTAATACCCACCTCATGGTTATCAGAGAATTAAAAGATAGAATTTTTGTAAAAGGTTTAAAACAGTCTTTCAGACACACAGTCTCCAAAATGTTAGCTATCTTCATGGGAACACCTGGCAAAGTCCTCCACCTCTGGCCAGTCCCCTCGAGGAGCACCCATCCCAGAAGGCACCCCTCCTGTGTGAGGCCCACTTCCCATAGTCAAATCACCCCTTCCCACCAGTGCTGAAGAACACTGTGGATAAATACCATACACTGGTTAGGTGTTTGGACCCTGTGGGTTCAAATGCCAGAGGGGCCAGCTGTTATGCTGGGTAGAGTGGCTTTCCCTCTCTGCACCTCAGTTTCCTCATCTGTAAATTGGGGATAATTGCAGCCCCTCCCTCATAAAATTGAGAGGAATCAAGTCAACAGCAACAACAAAAACACCGAATGAGTGTCTATTCTGGTTAGGGACTGTGCTAGCTGTATAGGATGAAATGAAATAACGCTTGTGACGTGTTGAGTACAGTGCCCGCCGAATTATACACGTTCAACATGTGTTACATGGCAGGTGCTCCAAATGAAATAGTGTATTACACTCAAAATGTGCATGTATGCTAGATTTTAACACAAAATATATAAACATGTGTAGCACATCTTTCAATTACCTCCACATTCATTTTCTTATTTATTCCCACAAAACATTCCTGGAGGATAGGCAGGTTAGAGATGTTATGCCATTTTTACCATGAAAAAGCAGAGGTGCTGGGAGGTTAAAAGGCTGATGAACTGGTGCCTGGCAACTGGAGACGGCTGGCCATTTAAAAAGAGAGCGGCGGAGGGCAATGTTCCACCTCAGATCCCCCAGTGGAGAGCCAGCCCCAGCTCTGTGGCCTTGGGGTGGGAGGACCGGCTCGGAGGCAGCTTCCAGGCCCAGGGCGCCCCAACCACGTGGGGAAGCTGCGGGTGGACACGCCCTGGGGCGCACGACCGGTGGCGCGGAGCTTCCAGCGGGCAGAGGCGCTCACGACTCTGGGCACGACGCTGGGTGGCGCTGCCGGGCCGCCCCGCGCCAAACCTGTTGCGCGGAGGGCGCCTGCCGGCCAGGTTAGGGGAAAGGGGTGCTCCGCTCTCTCCCCGAGCCCCCTGCGTCCTCGGCCGCATCTCCCTTGGGGAGCCTACGCCCCATCTTAACGTGAGACTCTCATTCACTTGCCTCTGCATTCCTCACGGCAACAGTTCTAGGCGCGTCGGGTGGGGTGGGAATAAAGTTTTCCCGAGCTGGTCTGGGAGAGGGCTGGGTTGGGCAGGACCCTCCCAGCCACAGCCTCCATGGCTGGACTGTGCCCTCTGCCACCCCGGGGGCTCTGCTCTCGGTAGGTGCCAGCCCCGGCGCCGACCGATGGCTGACCCTGCCCGCCCTCTCCCACCCGCTTCCCAGTCCCCATCCCCTCCCCCGCCTCCCGCGCACCGGCCCGGCGTCTCCGCCCCTCCCGCGCCGGGTCGCTGCAGTCCCCGGCTGCCCCCGGGTCCCTCCTCAGGGGCCCTGGCCTCATTCCAGCCTGGAAGCGCCTCGGTTGGAGCGCGGGACAGCAGTAGAGAGCGAGTCGTGTGCCCTGGTCACCTCAGCTCTCCCAACCTGCAGGAGGGCCCGACTCCGGGAGCCGAAACGCAGGGAAAGGCAAGGACCCGGCGCCGGCGTAGGGGCGGGCGCCGCTCATCAGCCACGCCAGTTCACGTCTGGGGCCACCCGGCCGCCTTTTCTTCCTTTCCCCCTTTGCTTTCTCCCCCCTCTCCCCTCGGCGAGGGCAAAGTGGCCGTGGCGGCGCCTTGCCCGGGCCGGAGTGAGTCGCGCGGGCGAAAATGGCGTACATCCAGGTAGGGCTGGGGCTGGGGGCCAGGTCCGCGGGGTGGGTGGGGAGGCCGTGCCCCCTTCGACCGTGAGCGCGCGTAAGAGAGGGGCTCGCGGCTGCGCTCCCCGCAAACTTGCCTGGGGGAAAAAGGGTGCCCGAGCGCAGAAACCTGTGCGCCCCAGGAGAAGAGGCTGGGTACCCCCACACCCCCTCATGCAGGGCCCCTTTGCGGACTCTGCACGGGCGCCTTCACCTCCTGGGGAAGGAAGCGGGGGGTGGGGGGGGGCGTGAGACAGACTTTTCTTCCCACTCCCCCATTCCCCTCCCTTGGCACCCACCCAGGGAGGGGCCGAGGCGAGCGGCCCGGGGCGTCCCAGCCACCCGGCCCGCCAGCTGCGGTTGCCTTGGTGACGGCCGGGCTAATTGGCAGGCGGAGTGAGCCTGAGGCAGCTGTTCTGGCCAGGAGGGACAAGGACGTTGTCTCTCCCGGGCACTGGGTGCTAGGGGTGGGGGACACACCAGGGGCGTGCTGGTGCTGGTGCTGGTGGGGCAGCCGATTGCTTAGGGCCTAAGGCCATTGTCTGGGGGTTGGGAGTTGTGGACCCCCATCATTTGGGGGAAACTCCCCTAAGAATCCTCGGCCGAAATCATTTCCAAGCGTGATTTTTTGGAGGGGGATGGAAAGTGGGGGAGAGCTGCTTGACTAAGAGACCTTTCTCCTTAATACAAGGCTGGAAGCGGTGACAGGTCAGCGCCAAGGTCATGCAGTCAGACCCTTTGCTTGCTTCTGGGACTGGCTCCTCTGAGCCAGGCAGAGAAGCCTACAGGCTCCCACATCCAGGGTGCATCTGGGCTCACTTCTCATCTCCTCCGCCACAGTTGGGGGGCTGCTGGTCCCCGAGTTTCCCTCTGGCTCACACATCCCCTCAATTTGTCCTCAGACTTCTCATTCGGCCAGGAACTCTGGTCTCTCACCTGGCTGGCCTCCTCATCTCTCTCCTGGTTTAGGTTCGCTCCATTGGCTCCCCTTTCATGAAATCCCTAGGTCATCGCTTCAAGTTCATTGTAGATCACGTCCACACCCACTGTGTGCTGGATGTTGTTAGGAGGACTATTCAATAGTCACTCAACAAACAGGTGGGTGACCATCTATTATGTGTGTGCACTGGGGGCACAGCTGTGAAAACAGCATGGTCCCTGCCTCTCAGAATGCAAATCTAGTGAGACATGAAGAACATCTGAACAGGCTTGTCCGGTTCTTATTGACCACCTCCAGCACCAAGGCGACACAGCTGCTTAGGGGTCTGGTGAGATCTAAACCTGGGGCTCAGGGAAGTTTTCGTTAGGCGTCCAGTATGAGGATGGCCTGGTGATGCTGCCTTCACTCCTAGAACAAGTTGTTGAACTTTTTCTGTCAAGGGCCAGGTAGTACATATTTGTTTCTTCGAAGGCTGCAAGGTCTGTGTCTCAACTACGCTGCTCTGACTGTGGTGCTGAACAGCCATAGACAATAGTCAATGAATGGGCGTGGCTCTGTTCCAATAAAACTTTATTTGTGAACACAAATTCGAATTTCATATATTTTGCATGAGTCAAGGAGTATTAATCTCCTTCTGACTTTTTTCCCCAAACATTTAAAAGTGTACAAACTGTTCTTAGCTGAAGTGCCGCACAGAAATAGGCTGGCTGCGGGCTGGATTTCTCAGCCCTGTTATAGAATGTCTGCGTTTGCTTTCATCCTGTTTCTTTCTGGCTTGAATCAGTTCTCCTCCATTGGATCAAACACGTGAACCCAGGAGGCCCAGGGCGAGGAAAGGCTCACAAAGCTTGCTGATAGCATCAGAGTATCTTCCCTTTCCTCTTTCTTCATCTTCCTTGGTGTTTCTTTGCTCTCTGACACTTACCTTGCACCGGGGTCTTGAGAAGGCTGGCTGGTTGTTCCTTAGCAGGGACCCTGAGGTGGCCTTATCGCTGCTCATCATGGTTTTATAAACGGCTCTCCGATCACCACACACTGAGGAAAGGCTTCCCTAAATGAAGATAATGGGCATGGATTGTGAAAAAGCATCCCTTTATCCTTGTACTTTGTTGGAAGCTTTTTAAAGCACTTGCTCTTGTATGCCCGATGAGGACATAGCTTTTTGCTGCTTTGCTCACCAAGATAGTCCCTGGTGCCTGGTTGGTTCCAACTGGTCTTGAGAAACCATCCTGTTCTCACGAACCACAGAGAGGGGGCAGATATTTTGCAGCTGGGCAACACACAAGCGTTTCCACAGCGTCCTGGGTTAGTCTTTCCATAGAGGGAAGAGGTAACTGAGGCTCAGAGTGGCCCCTTCACTTGCCCAAGTCACATGATTGATTGGCTAGTGGTGAGGCTAGCACTGTCTCTACTCAGCTCTATGCGTGTAAACCACCCCCCCCCCCCAATTCCCGGCGCACACCCAGCAGGTCTTGTTCTGGTTTGAGTTTTGCTTTTGGAAGAGTTTGTGATTAGTGCCCGAGACTTTGTTTTCCAAGCTGCAGCCATATCCTTACCACTTCAAGGATTTTGAATTTTTCACGAGCTATGTACCACCTGTACTGTTATTTACTTAATATTTTTTCTATAAATGGATTCACGCTTTTATTAGTTTAAAAACTCATATGAAAGGGAAACTTTATGTCAAAACCATAATAGAAAACCAGGATGACTTGATATAAGCAGAAGGCAATTGGACAAAAGAACCATAATTAGAATAATGCCACAGTCTTAGATTCTAGCTAGAAAGGGCTCCCTGCAAGGCTCTGGGCTGGGGGCCTTCTCTTTGTTTAAAAAGGAAGGGGTGGGGAAGATTAGAAAGATGTTATTGAGTCTTTCTCCTCCTTGCAAGAGAATTGAAAAAAAAATAACTTTCTCCCTCTTGGTTCAAAGTTCTGAGTTCGAGTCCTGCCTCAGTTCATCTCTGAGACATGTCCCAGGCTAGGATGTGGAACTCCTCCTAATCTACCTGGTTTACTTGGCCCCTTTGGAAAGTCATCAAGACTCTTCCCTGGAAGAGGGGAGGGAGCCTGTGACTTAAGAACCTGTGAGAAGAAGATGGGATGGGGAGGGGGGTGGCCAAGAAGGGGGGCAGCCCGTCCCTCCTCCAAGGACCAGATTATGGCTTCCTTTTTGGCTCCCTCTACTTGTGGGTGGTCTTATGAAGCTTCCCACCATCTCCATTGGCGCAGAATTGGAAGGTAGGGCCTCCAGGAGGGTTGGGGAGCCAAGTCACATCCACTCGGTGCCTGCCTGCATGTTAGCAAATCATGTCTTTTGGGGTTGGCTTCGTGGTTATTTCTGTATAGGAAGGTTTGCTCTTCTGAAGTGTGGCTGCATTGGCTAGCATGACTATCTATCCACCCGCACTGATTCATAACAGCATACGGTGCACATCCAACCGAAATGCTAAAGTTTCCCATTTATTCGGTGTTGGCTAGCCGGGAGGCTACCCGCAGCCCTGAAGATAGCAACACCTAGTTAGCAAGTCAGCTCCCTCCCCAGGATGGTAAGTGGAAAGATCCAGGGCTTTTTCTTTTTCTTTTCTGAGTTGCTGGAATATTGCTAAACTGGTCTTGTCTCTCTCTTTTTGTCGCCCCCACCCCCTCCACCCTGTGGCTTCATCTTGGATCTCTAAAAGGGCAGTTGGAACCTTTAAACGAGGTGGGTTAATTCAATGACTCGTTTGGTCTGGCTTCTAATCAAGAAATGCTTGCTTTTCATTTTGGAGTCTTGTGTGAGGCTGTGGGGAATATTGAATATTAAACAGTCACCGGATGTTGATAAGGGCACTGTTTCCATGCCTTTCTGTGGCAGGGAGATCCCGGTGAAAAGGCACTAGATGACAAGATAGGTTTCCCTCCCCACCCCCTACTTATTCTATTTGATTATCTCTGTTTGCTTTCATGTCACTGAGATTATCTTTTTGAAAAAGACTATTTTTGCTTTGCTCTCAAAAAGACAGACTAATATTCATTGTGTTTCGGAACATATTGTGTAACCCTCACCACGGTGGGTATGCCGCCCACATGTCAAGAAAGACGTTCCCATAAACTACAAAAGAAACTACCTGCAAATGTCTCGCTGGCTATTAATGGCTCCGGCGAGTTGGTGTTTGCCATCTTTGTGCCTGCAATTGGTAAACAGAAATGGAAAACATTGTGTTCCAAGTGTTGACAGACCTCCTGCATGTCGTTATGTCTCACCAGGGATGGGCTGCTTGTAATTCGGGTGTTTTTCCTTTTCCTCCTCTCCACCCTTCCTGCGTCTCCTCTCGCCCCCCTCCCCGCCCACCTCCCCCAATGGCCTCAGGGTTTTCTTTCTAGAATCTCTGATCTGCTGCTGTGCAGATGGACCTGCCGGCACTGCTGTCAGAAGTGTTACGAGTCCAGCTGTTGCCAGTCGAGTGAGGATGAAGTTGAAATTCTGGGACCTTTTCCTGCCCAGACTCCTCCCTGGCTGTAAGTAACACTGCTCTCAACTCCCTTGAAAGCAATCTCAAGACCTTTTTTTATTCTCTGTTTCTGAGAGGGGGTGGGGCCTGGGGAAGGAGGATTTGAGGTATGAAAGCAGGGAAGGCCGGGTGCCCATTGACCTCTTTGCCACTGATGGGACATGCTCTGAGCCTCATTTTTTTTTTTTTTTTGGCAAGCTGGTGAGACCAGCTGGTGGTGGGACTTCTGTTCAGCTAGTTTCACATCTTCTGAGATGTGAACTGTGTAATGCTAAACACGTGGGCACTTTTAATCACGTTGGGTGTCATTCCAAGCGGAAAAAGAGATCTGTGAGCATCTATAGTCTTCAAGGGCTGTCCATTCTAAAGGTGTCCACCCGAGTCAGTACCTGGCACCTGGCCTGGCAGCTGACCCAGTGCTTGGCACATGGTAGATGCTTATAAATGTTTGTTGCCTGGCTGGGTAGATGGAATGAACAAACAAGTGTATCTTAGCTGATCTGACCAAGAGCTTCAGAAATAGGGAAGCCGAAAAGCACCTCCGGGCTTCATCCTGTCCTCCAACGCTGTTTATGTTCTCCCTGGCGTCTTTCATTTTATTTCCAATTCGTTCTCCTCCCGCGCCTGCATACAACATCTCCATCTGCCAGTCCCTCAGATATTTTGGGAACGCAGTTTTGAAGCTTTTGAGCCACGTGTCTGGCCCATCTCTCTGTGGCTGGGAGAGGAACGTGGCCAGAGAGTCTGGGTTGAGTCTAGAGGGTCTGGGAATCGTCGAGTACCACTTCTTATGATACGGAGGGGGAGGCCCCGAGAGGAGAGACAGTGCACGTGCCCACAGCTGGAGCCTCCGTGGGGACCCAGTGCCGTCTCGGCTAAACCCTTGGGCTGAAGTTCCAGAAGCTTCTGGTGCCCCATCTTTCCCTCCATACTGGGGGGAGGGTGGGGGTGCGGGGCGGGTCATGCTTCAGTTCTTCCTCTCATTTTCTGTTTTTAAAGGCAATTATTGCATATTTCCATAACAAAGTGGTTCTGTGTCAGGTTCTGTGAGTTGATATCCTATTTTTTCTACTTTTTCCTAGTTCTGTGACCGTGAGCAAGTTGCTTGATCTCTCTCTCTGCCTTGATTTTCCCATCTGTAAAATAGGGATGATAAAAATAATAGTATTTATTTCATAGGGTTGTTGTGGTGATTGCATGAATTGGTGTATGGAAAAGGACTTAAGAACGCTTGACACCTAGATGAGAGTCTTTTTACCCTGTTTTTGTCTCAGTTTCCTCATCTGTAAAGTGGGAACAGTAATATGACTTATTTTATATGGCTGTTATTCAGAGTAATGAGATATGCACATACCATGCTTATCACAGTAGTGAGTATTCATTTCATCATTATATTGATAGGGATTCTGTTAAGGCACTCCTCCATTATTCATAGGTAGGGACCTGAATCCCGCAGATGTGTGTAGAGTTGATTGTTTGGTGAAATCGACTCATTAATCAAGAGCTTAGTCCCATTTTCCAGTGCCCTATGTGACAGAGGTTGGCTTAGCCCATCTGGTGTCTTTTCTTTAAAGAATGCCAGCTCTGTGAGGGCAGGGTTTCTCTGTCCAACTCCAAAAAATAGTTGTTGACCAACTGACTAACGTACAGGCAGAAATTGAATCCTGAAAGCATCAGTCATCCAATTGAGCCCGGCCGGTGGCTCAGTGGTTGAGTGTCGACCCATGAACCAATAGGTCGCTGGTTCTGTTCCTCCTGGTCAGGCACAAGCCTCGGTGTGCAGGAGGCAGCCGATCGATGTTTATCTTTTATCGATGTTTCTATCTCTCTATTCCTCTCCTTTCCTCTTTAAAAATCTAAAAAAAAATAATAAAAATTAATCTCAGTTTCTTTGGTAGTTATTTCTTGAGTACACCCTGCAGGCACTCAATAGAGTCCTATTGCTGTACTCAGGGGATTTAAAGTCTAGTATAGAGGGCCCAGTTGGGTGGCTTAGTTGGTGGAACGTTGTGCTGTTCACTGAAAGGTTGTGGGTTCAATTCTCAGTGAGGACACATACCTAGGTTTTGGGTTTGATCCCCTGTTGGTGTGAGTATGGGAGACAACCAGTTGATGTTTCTATCTCCTTTCCTGTCTCTCGAAAATCAATAAAAAAACATATCCTTGGGTGAGAATTAAAACAAAAACAACTCGTATAGGAGATAAGGCGAGTACTTAAGTCCAGGCCCCCTCTAGAGTTACGCATTCACACCCTGCACACCCATATGACAGTCCTGCATAGACTTTCCAATGGAAAAATCCAGGGGGAATGGCTTCATCCAGGCATAGCTGGATCCAGAGGCTTAAATACTGTCTGGGAGTGCATGCGTGTGCGCTCTCTTTCGTTGTGTCCTTTGTATTGGCCTCATTCTTAAGCTTGCTTCTTCTCTGCCCCATTCTTAACAGCAGCAAAAACACCAGGGAGCGCTCTCTTTGCCCTGGTTTGGTGTAAATGTGCCCAATCACTTTTGCTTGGCGGAGACGGTGCTAGGATCATTCATCCCCGGGTGGCCTGACCATCCTGGACCCAGGGGCAGGGTCATTCCCCCTGGAAACACTTGAACTAAGCTAGTAGCACAGGGTTGGCACACTTTCCCTGTAAAGGGCCCGATAGTAAATATTTCAGCCTCATGGGCTTATTCTAGTCCAGCCGAGGGCAAACTACGGCCCGCGGGCCGGATCCGGCCCGTTTGAAATGAATAAAACTAAAAAAAAAAAAGACCGTACCCTTTTATGTAATGATGTTTACTTTGAATTTATATTAGTTCACACAAACACTCCATCCATGCTTTTGTTCCTGCCCTCCGGTCCAGTTTAAGAACCCATTGTGGCCCTCGAGTCAAAAAGTTTGCCCACCCCTGTTCTAGTCAATTCTGTCATTGCTGTGCGGAAGCAACCGTAGTCAATACATTAATGAATGGCGTGGCTGTGTTCCAGTAACACCTCATTTACAAAATCAGGCTGTGGGTTTGGCCCTGTGGTTCGCTGACCTTTGTACTAGACCAGTGATGGCGAACCTTTTGAGCTCGGCGTGTCAGCATTTTGAAAAACCCTAACTTAACTCTGGTGCCGTGTCACATATAGAAATTTTTTGATCTTTGCAACCATAGTAAAACAAAGACTTATATTTTTGATATTTATTTTATATATTTAAATGCCCTTTAACAAAGAAAAATCAACCATAAAAATGAGTTCGCGTGTCACCTCTGACACGCGTGTCATAGGTTCACCATCACTGTACTAGACGGTTTGGATGCTGTGACTGGATCCAGGGCAGGCAAACACGACACATGGACACTATGTCTTGGAAGAGTTGTGAGGATCGTAGAAAATGATGGACACTATGTCTTGGAAGAGTTGTGAGGATCGTAGAAAATGAGCCTGCAAACTCTGATCATGCAGAGTCTTGAAGGCCAGATTAAGGAATTTGGATTTTCTTTTGAACCAGTAGGGAACCTGATAGACATGGAAAATCACAATCTGTTTGCCCCCAGATATCTGGATGGAGTGTTCCAGATGCCCAGCCACTGAGTTGGATGACAGTTGCGCTTTGACCAGGCTACTGACCCTTTGGGCATGCAGAGGATTCTTTCAGGGGCAGGGGTAGGACCCTCTGGGAAGACAGTTCTTTTGGTTTTGCCACAAGCAGAGAAGTGGGCTGGGAACTTCCCAGCAGAGCCAACACACCACGCAACTTCTGGAGGCGCCGTTCACTGGTGGTTATTATGAATGGCACCACCTAGAGTCGTGCAGTCTGCAGCCTGGACACTGTACATGACCTCCATGCTTCCCAGGGTGAGCCAGGTCTTCCTGGAATCCTGGGCATCACTGAGTGCATTTTTGGCACTCAGCACAGTGCAAAATGTTAAGAGAAATCTGGAAAGGGGAAGCGGGTTCAGTCATTCAGAGAGCGAGTTTACAGCTTGTGCTTTCCCCAGCTTTATTTACCAAGTGGGCAGTTGCATGTTATCAAACAGGCAGGGAGTAGAAATGTCAAGTGCACAGGCTTTGCAGTGCTGTTCCTGCTGTGATATTTGAGCCCAGAACCACAGAGCTGGCAGATGAGCTGGCTCTTTGTGTGGGGGACACATCATTAGTTGTCACATGTGCTTCTGTCATGGAGGCCCCCAGCTTTCCTTGGCTGGGCTGGCCTAGTGAGGGTCAGGGAAACTGTACCGTCCAGCTGGCTCCTTGGGGGAAGTGCCAGAAAGACCCTCATTGAAGAGTGAATTAAAGTCAAGTTATTTGTTTCTACAACTAGCATGTGCTGAGTAGCTACTGTGTACAAAGCTCCACAGGCCTTGCAGGGGATGCCCAGCTCTGACGTGTGGCACTGTGATCCGGAGCCTGGCATTGCTTGACTCAGTTGGGGTTCTACCATTTAACAGTGGTGCCAATTAATTATCCATCCCTCTCCCCACCCTACCCTGGAGCTTATATTTCCTCACCTGTAAAAAGGGGACGGTTATTAGTAACAACGAACTCCCAGGTTGTTTTAAGGGTGAAATGAGATGGTTCATACAGAACATTTAGCCCAGTGCCCAGCACATAGTGGGCACTCAGCACCTGGTACCTTTGATCATAGTAGGTACATGTCTCACCACTAAGAAGTGTATCCTCTTATAGGAGGGTTGACAAGACATGCACTCAGATCATTGCGACACAAGATAAATGGGATAAGAACCACAGGAAGGGTGTATTCATTCACTCACTGAGAAAATAAACGTGGAACACCCAGGTGCGCCAGGTAGTAAGGCAAGGTTGGCAGTGGTGACAGATAAGACAGATACTGTCGCTGCCCATGTGGAGCTGAAGCTTGGTGTCAGATGCAGAAGAGAAGCAAGCAAGCCACACCTGAAGATAAGTGATGCGCAATGTCAAAGAGAGACAAGCAGGTGCAGGGATAAGGGTGGAGGGGGTGGGAGGAGGTGACAGGGACAGGGTGGGGCCTCTCTGAGGAGATGCTATGGGAGCTGAGACCTGAATGATGACAGGAACCAAACAGGCGATGGGGACCGGAAGAGCATTCGGCGCAGTGTGTGGGAGGAAGGCAGGGAGGCCTGGTGGTTGCAGAGGAGGCGGGGTGGCTCAGGCCTACACTGGTACTGTGTGAGAGGACTCAGCCAAGGCCCTGGGGGCCGATGGCGTTTAAGCTGGTCCTGGAAGGCTGGATGGGACTTCACAGGTGGAGGTGACCGCCACAGAGGTATGACAGTGGGGGGACAGGCTGTGCAGGTGGAGGTGCCCCAGTGACTCCTTCCGTGGAAGATGCTACAGCTTTCATTTAAGGGAGAGCAAGAAGAACGACTGGCACAGTGTGATCCCATCTCTGTGACCTCCCCAACTTTCCATCCCCCCACATTTCATCTGCTATGTTCTCCTAGAGACCAGGATCGGGGGGCAGGCGAGGACTGTGCGTTTCCCGGCCTTATCACAGCCCCGGTCTTGTCCTCGCCGTGACCCTTATATCACTTTGGAAGAACATCAGATCCATCTCATTTCATGCACAGGATGCGTCGGAAGACCTTGGAGAATTCGAAACTTGCATTTTTCAGGACTAGTTTCCCTGCAGGCTTAAATGTCAAGCTGGAGGATGCAGGCTTAGAACATATCAATCCACAGCTGAGAGCTTGGGCGTGTTATTAGCAGCATCCATCTCACGGCCACTTTGCCAGCTTTTGTCCCCTCCATCTTCCTCCCCGCAGCATCCTGATCCAGCAGCCTTATGAATATTGGGGGAATCTTAAAGACACCAGTAATGCTAGCTGAAATGTATTGCGCACCTACCCACAGCATGCCAGGCACTGTTCTAAACATTTTATATGTGTGAACGCATTCAGTGTTCACAGCAGCCATGCCAGGCGGGCACCGTTATTCTCATTTTACAGAGAGGGAGATGGAGACACAGAGAGAGGAAGGGACTCGCCCAAAGTCACCCAGCCAGGGTTCAAACCGAGAGGTCCTGCTCTTTAATTACTACTCTGTGTCTCCCCACCCTCCCACCCAAGGCTTTTCATCTTTTCATTAGGAGCACATTGAATCGTGCCTGCTGCTAATTCATAGCTGTTTCTTAACATCAAACTATTGTTCCTCAATCATTGATTCTCAGGGCCGCTTTGTAGCTATAGCCCTGCCTCTCAAAGAACTCTTGAGTGACATTGTTATGGATATTTTTAAAAGATGTTAAACTGCAGACAGAGTGGCTGTTGGGATAGCAGAGCATTTCTCACCAAGAGCCACTTGCAAAAGTTGGGATGCACATGAACAGCCACATGGTTCCTTCCGGACTGAAGATTGACAGGTCTCTTGACTAGTCAAAGTGGCACCCTGCCTCCATGGCCACATCCTGAGTAAGTTCCCACATCTCTCCCTCCGGCCCCAGCTTTGACTGATTGTGCTAAATTGGGAAATATTCATCCATATCATTTCACATTTTGTGCAAAAAGCAAGACGTTATTGAGAGTTTACGGCTACTACACTATTTCAAATTTGCACGATCCCAAGCTGCATAAACGGCATGAGAGCGGTTTCCTCATGGTCTGTTCTCCAAGGGCAGAGATGCCCGTCCCTGGGGATTCTTTGACAACCATAGCGACCTCTTCCCTCCCACAGGATGGCCAGCAGGAGCAGTGACAAGGACGGGGACTCGGTCCACACGGCCAGTGACGTCCCGCTGACCCCACGTACCAACTCCCCAGATCGAAGATGCTCATCCTCAGACACGTTGAAGTCTACGTACAGCCTGACCCGGCGGATTTCAAGTAAGCATCTCTGCCGTGGCAGGGCGTCCTGGCTCGGGCAGTCTTGTGCTGCTCACCTCCCTTCAGAGTCCATGAACTAATCCCACTAGCGGGGTCCCAGGACAGAGGAGGGGAGCTGGCTTTCCCAGACACTCAGCAGCAGCCCCAAGGAAAGATGTGAAGGACACGATTGTTCCTGGGAAGGGGTAGAGAGGGATGACAGTCAGGAGACAGGATGACGATCGATAATGACAACGTGACAGAAGTGCATTGCAGTGATTGTTTTGACTGATTTTTGGTTTTGCTGATCACTTTCCCTTGAATTGGCTCAACTGATTGACATTGTCAGCATATATCTTTCAGACCCCAAAGGCAAGTGTCACCATGTTATACTGCAGGGCTTGCAAATTCTAGCAACTCCAGGGTCCAGGTGGGTTGTGTCAGTAACTGAGTAAAGAGGGTTGGATAGAGATAAATATCACCCTGATGCAATGACAAATGGGAGCCGATTCTCAGCCTTGAGAGGTACTAGGGCAGGGTGGGGACTGTGGCCAATTGGGAAGCTAATGCCCTGTTGAAAGGGTAGCCGCTACTCAGCTGTAGCCATGGGGGATGGTGGGCCCAGTATTGCCTGATTTTCTAAAAGAGAAACTGGCAACCTGGGTTTTCAGATGAAACTTTCTTATTTTTAAGCCCAAATAAAATGTATCTATGGGTTGAATTTGGCTCGCAGGCCACTGAGTTTTTCCCCTCTGATGTATAACGTATGTGTTTTACCATATGGGTGGGGAGGAGGAAGGAGGGTAAAGCCTAAGGACTCCCTAAATAGAATCGTTGAAGAAGTATGATAGTTACTTTGAGGTAAGCGCCATTATTGGCTCCATTTCACAGATGGGGAAACTGAGTCCCAGAGAGTCTAAAAAATGTGCCAGAGTCACATGGCTCATTAGTAGTGAGTCATATGGCTCACTAGTAAATAGCCGAGGTGGAACTTGACCCAGGCACTCCAGCCCCAAGGTCCACTCTGAAAGTGGAGGTCACATCTCCGGGGCCACACAGGCCAGGCAGGACCCCGGCTCCTCCTCTTACTAGTTGTGTGACCATTGGTGAGAGGCTGGGGGTGGTGGGAATAGTCATTAGCCAATACCCTGTGAAGGTTAGATGACCTGCTACATGCAGGGCATTTAGAACAGTGCCTGGCGCTTCGCTGCGGTGATTATGGTGATGGGGCCGATGCTGCCTCTCAGAATGAATAAGAGGCTTTCAGGTGTGGAGAGCAGAGGGCGAGGAGGGTCAGGGAGCAGCGTGGACGATGTGAGAAGCTGGGAAATATTGCCCACCTGAGGAAGGGGCCAGGTTAGGCCCCCTGCGCGGTGGTGTTCATGGTTATTTCTGGCGGCTCTTTAGGTCTGGAGTCCAGACGACCCAGCTCCCCGCTCATCGATATTAAACCCATCGAGTTTGGCGTCTTCAGCGCCAAGAAGGAGCCCATCCAGCCCTCGGTGCTCAGACGGACCTATACCCCCGACGACTATTTCAGAAAGTTCGAGCCGCGGCTGTACTCCCTCGACTCCAACAGCGACGATGTGGACTTCCTGACGGACGAGGAGATCTTGTCCAAGTACCAGCTGGGCATGCTGCACTTCAGCACCCAGTACGACCTGCTGCACAACCACCTGACGGTGCGGGTGATCGAGGCGCGGGACCTGCCGCCCCCCATCGCCCAGGACGGCGCGCGCCAGGACATGGCGCACTCCAACCCCTACGTCAAGATCTGCCTCCTGCCGGACCAGAAGAACTCCAAGCAGACGGGCGTCAAACGCAAGACCCAGAAGCCCGTGTTTGAGGAGCGCTACACCTTCGAGATCCCCTTCCTAGAGGCGCAGAGGAGGACCCTGCTCCTCACCGTGCTGGACTTCGACAAGTTCTCCCGCCACTGCGTCATCGGGAAGGTGTCCGTGCCTCTGTGCGAGGTGGACCTGGTGAAAGGCGGGCACTGGTGGAAGGCGCTGATCCCCAGTTCCCAGGTAAGGATCGGGGGAGAGGGAGGTACCGTGTCTTCTTCTGGGAGTTTGTGGTTGATTTTTTATGAGGATTTTTATTTTAAAAAATTGTTTTGCGCCTTAAAACATTTTATTTTGAAATAATTCTCTACTTACAAGAAATTGCGAACACAGAAGGGAGTTCCCATGTACCCTTCACCCAGCAACCCCCGTGGTAAATCTTATACGACCAGAGTACATTCGCACTGGGAAGTGATGGTGGCAGCTAACCTGCAGGCTTTCTCAGTTTGCACCAGATTTTACATGCACTGCTGTGTGTGTGTGTGTGTGTGTGTGTGTGTGTGTGTGTGTAGGTCTATGAAATTGTATCACATGTGTGGATGCATGTAACCACCACCACCCTGGGACTCTCCAGTCATTGATGGTGTGTTATTTAATCAGGAGAGTGATTAGCTGGGTAGGAAGCTATCAGTCATGTTGACTTTGCCAAATTGATTTGGGAAAAATAAAATGAGGGCTGAAGAACAGGATGATAGATGGATGTTTTGCAGGCAAATTGTGAGATCCCAGCCCAGGAACATGCAATTGGCTGCTTCAGAAGCCACCCATGGACCAGGCTCTGTGCCCAGCGGTGGTTAGAGTCCCCCCCTTGGGCACTCTGTGGGCTGAAGGACGACAGTGCTCCCACTGGGGGTGCAGCATGTGCTGGGAGCCCGAGGGAAGGAAAAGCCCAGCCCGGGGAGGCCGGCCCAGCCCCCCTGTGCTGTGGACAGCAGTCCTGTATAACAGGCGGGATTATTTTCCATCAAACACACCAAGGTGCTTCTCGAAGCTGAGCTCTACTGGCCAGGGATTTAATGGTCCAGCACCACAGGTGTAGGGCACAGATGCTGGACATGAGGACTGGAGGGGCTGCCCCACTGCCAGAGTGTCCGTGTCTGTGCGCATCCTCAGAGATAGGAGATTTGTTCATCTCTTAGTTTGGATTCCTCAAGAAGAAGACCCTGAGGCAAGGGAAGTCGTTTATTAGGGTTGTGGCACTGGAGGGAACACCAGGAGAAACGGGAAAGGTACATAAAGGGTGCATTTGGGGGCTGGTACCACTGTGGGTGACTGGAATGGAAACTTGCTTGGAAAACTGGGAGCCAGCATCGGACGTGCCTGAGGGTCTTTCTGCCTGACGGGCAAGGGAGCTAACGTTTTTATACACTAACTAGTACCAGCTATTGGATGAGGGCTGTTGGGAGATGAGGAGGTTTATTTCCTGGCCTTTCTGGACTGTTACACTGTCAGATGAAGAGACTTTGACATCCACAGATGCTGGCCCGTGTGCACTGACATGGTCACGGCCAAGAGATGGTGGGCAAGGTGTTGACAGTGTCTGCTACAATCCTAAATCCTCCATTCGGGATCCGAATGTACTGGGTGCTTTCCATGTATCCTCCTCAGTATTTGATATCACTGGGTTTTCAACTGTCAAGAAGTTACAGTTGAAAGAGGGAAACCCCCCTCAACAAAATAATTTCTTCATGGCCAAGCTCCATTGCTGACATCAGTGGAAGGTCCCGGAGATGCAGAGACTCTTGCCTCCTTTAGGTCTTGGCTGAAATATCACCTTTTCAGCAAAGCCCTCCTGGCATATCTGCCCTAGTTGGGTTCTCCTGAATGCTCAGGTCAAGGCGAGGACCTGGGTGCAGGTATATTTAGGAGGTGATCCCAGGAAGAAGGAGTGAGGGGCAAGCAGGACACAGGAAGGAGGGGACGTCAGGAGTCAGTGGTGGTTTTTAAAGTCTCCATTCTGTCTGCTGGCGCGTGGACACTGGCCAGGGGGCTCCCTCAGAAGGGCTGGGCAGAAGAGAGAAAGAGCCCAGGTGCGCCGGTATCGGCCGGAACTGAGACCACATCGAGCAGGCCTATGGGAGCATCTGTAGCTGACACAGAGGCTGCGTTCGCTGCACCGCCCTGTTCATGTGGCTGCCTCCACCTGGGTCCAACTTACCCCTTCCCTTGCTTTATCTTTCTCCATGGCACTTACCGTCATCCCACAGAGCATGCGTTTTAGGGCCTGTCTTCCATGCTGGCAGGTAAACCCCACGAGGGCAGAGGTGGTGTCTGTTTTGTTCCCCTGCACCGAGAACAGAGCCCGGCGTGTGGTGGTGCTCAGTGGGATTTGCTGGGTGAATGAAGGATAGAAGGAAGCATTCCCCAGAGTGAATTTCTTTTTTCCTTCTCCCTCCTTCCCTCTCGCACCCCTTCACCTCCCTCTGTCCCTTCCTTTCTCCCCTTTCTCCTTTCTTCTTCCTTTTCTTGTCACACGAAGAAAGGCTCATGGGAACTCGGAGGGAAGAAGGGACTCAGGCTTGCTCGGCCTTTATGCTCTTGAGAGCACAGGCCCGTTGTGTGCGGCTGGGTTTCCCTGAAGCAGAGCCCGAGACAGGAATGTGGGTGTGGATTAGCTTCCTAGGGCTGCTGGGCCTAAGCACCACACATCGGGTGGCTTACATCTCAGAAATGGATCTTCTCACAGTCTGGGCGCTAGGAGTCGAAGATCGAGGTGTTGGCAGGGCCGTGCTCCCGGGAACCTGTAGGGAATCCTTCTGCCTCTCTGTGGCTTCTGGCGGTTGCTGGCTCTCCGTGTTTCCTGGCTTGAAGCTGCATCCCTCCGATCTCTGCCTCCGTCATCACATGATGTTCTCTATGTGTGTCTGTCTCTTCTCTTCTCATAAGGACACCAGTCCTATTGGATTAGAGACCCACCCTGCTCCGCTATGACCTCATCTTAAATAATCACATCTTCAGTGACTCTATTTCCAAATAAGGTCACATTCTGAGGCACTGGGGGTTAAGACGTCAATATATCTTTGGGCAGGGGCGGGGGGGGGGGCGGGGGG